AAAAAAAAAAAAAAAAAAAAAAAATCCTAGACCTCAGAAGGAATGGGTGGTTTTAGACAAGAGTTTTTCAAATCAGTGTAGGAAGTTAAACATTTCATGGGTCGGCTGCTCTGTCTATGGAGCAGCCGTTCTTTTATTTACTTATCTAATACATTTGTTTTCACTAAAAGAAAAATTATGTAAATAAATGTTTCCATCTGACAAGTTTATAAACTACACTATTCTCTATACTAAATTTCATTATAATCAGAGGAGCAATGCAGTGATAACATTTTCATTGTAATATTATTTATTCTATAAGTACTTGAGGTATATAGTCATTTTGCAGAGCTTGGCTATTTTTAGAAACAGGAAACTACTTTCTAAAGGAAGGAACAGGCAGTGTACAGTTGCTCACACCTATAACCCCAGCCAGGAGTTTGGGATCAGACTGGGCAACACGGTAAAACTCTGTCTCTACAATAAATATAAAAATTAGCCAGACATGGTGGTGCACACCTGTGGTCCCAACTACTCAGGAGGCTGAGGCAGAAGGATCATTTGAACCCTGGGGGTGGAGGGTCCAGTGAGTCATGATCACGCCACTACACTCCACCCTGGGTGACAGAGGGAGACCCTGTCTCAAAAAACAAACAAAAAAACTGCTAGACCTCAGAAGGAAAGAATGGTTTTAGACAAGAGTTGCTCAAATCAGTGTAGGAAGTTGAAAATTACATGAGTCAATGTTTCCATCTGACTAGTTTATAAACTATGGTATTCTCTGTGCTAAATTTCATTATAATCAGAGGAGCACTTCATGAGGCCGAGGCAGGTGGATCACTTGAGGCCAGGGGTTTAGGACAAGCCTGGGCAACATGGTAAAACCCTGCCTCTTAAAAAATCCAAAAATTAGCCAGGTGTGGTGGTGCCTGTGGTCCCAGCTATTTAGGAAGCTGAGGTGAGAGGATTGCTTGAATCTGGGAGACAGAAGTTGCAGTGAGCCAAGGTTGTGCCACTGTACTCCAGCCTGGTGAAAGAGCGAGACTCCGTCTCAATTAAATAAATAAATGAAGGAAAGAAGGAAGAAACACATAGCAAAAATCAAAACCTCCATAACAAAGAGTAGTTATATCGAGATGGCATAATTATAGATAATACAAATTTTCTTCTGGGCTTCCAACTGAATTTCTCAAATTTTATTTAAACATGAACGTACCTATTACTTTCAGTGTTAAAAGAAACAAAAAATGGTGGCTCGCGCCTGTAATCCCAACACTTTGGGAGGCCGACGTGGGCAGATCACCTGAGGTCAGGAGTTCAAGACCAGCCTGATCAACATAGTGAAACCCGTCTCTACTAAAAACACAAAAATTAGCGGGGCATGGTGGTGCATGCCTGTAATCTCAGCTACTTAGGAGTCTGAGGCAGGAGAATCGCTTGAACCCGGGAGGCAGAGGTTGCAGTGAGCTGAGACAGAGCAAAACTCTGTCTCAAAAAAAAAAAAAAAAGAAACAAAAAATGTTATTTTAAATGTGATATCCAGGAGATCTTCCCTGCTACTAGCCCTGAGGTCAAATGAGTGGTTTTTTGGAGACACGTTTCTATTCTACCACATCTTACATTGGCCTTGTGGTTTCTTGACAATTCCAATGTCTAGTTTTAATGAGTCTGCCACACTTTGTCTCCAGGAACTAACATATTTCTGTTGGTAAAAGGCTATGTTGGAGGCTTCTGAATTTTTGAACTTTTGTTTTCCCAGGCATGGCAAAGAAATCTAAGCAGAAATAATACCATTGCTGACAAGTTTTTGCAAGTTTCTACACATGAAGCCATGAAGCAAAGGAAAAGATCCAAGCATGAGACTCTGGTGTATTTAATTACATACCTTCAGATCAAGCTCCACCAATCCTCTGGAGGCAAACGATTCTCAGGGAAATTGCCTGAAAACAAAATTTTAAAGAAAGTAGAATCCTCTATGTGCTCCAAGGTCCAAGGAAGCTCCCAATTTCATGGGAAGAGACTTCAAGACTTGCTGGCTATTTAAGTGAAAACTGGATCTTCTGGGCTGGGTAGCCTGATACTAATTTCCTGCCAATGTCGTCACTGCTTATTTGGCTTTTTCCCTCCCCTTTTCCAGGCTTAAGATAACTTTGACAAACAGCGTCTCCTAAAGGCTAATTTACAACTTTCTCACTGTAGAGCTTGGGGTTTCCCCAAGTAAAGCAAAATCTTCCTAGAAATGAACCCATGGAAGCCATGAAGCCCTCCAGGCTTTCCTTTGGATTTCCATTTTCTCAGTAAGCCAATAAGGGAATCTATCTATAGTTGGTGGGAAAAGAATAAAAACAAAACAAAAAAAAGAAAAGAAAAGAAAGGGAAGCATCTAATTTTCTAACCATCTCCTTCCCCAAACACTCAACTTTTCAAATAAAGCCAAGTTAACCCTTTCCTTAGTCCACATGCAAATAAACAATAATTTTTTTTTTTTTTTTGAGACTGAGTCTCGCTCTGTCACCCCGGCTGGAGTGCAATGGTGCAATCTACACTCACTGCAACCTCTGCCTCCTGGGTTCAAGCAATTCTCCTGCCTTACCCTCCCAAGTAGCTGGGATTACAGGCACATGCCACTAAGCCAGGCTAATTTTTTTTGTATTTTAGTAGAGACAGGGTTTCACCATGTTAGCCAGGCTGGTCTCGAACTCCTGACCTTGTGATCCACCCACCACGGCCTCCCAAAGTGCTGGGATTACAGACATGAGCCACCAGACTCGGCCAACAAATAAAATTTTTAAACGATAAAAGAAAAGTGGGTATTTGCTTTCAGTCTTTGTGGGAGAAATTAAGAAATAAAAAGAAAAGGGGAAAAAAAGAAAAGTGGGGATGGTGAATTACAAGCCCATTTGGAGGTACCTGCAAGAGACTCAACCAATTAATGGTAGACAAAACTGACAGTGTGTGTTCACACAGCACATTCAAACCAGCAGAAAAGAGAGAGCTTGAAGACGTTATTTCTAATAAAACAATACTGAAAACTTCCTTTTTGTTCTTTTTTTGAGATGGAGTCTTGCTCTATCACCAGGCTGGGGTGCGATCTTGGCTCACTGCAACCTCCGCCTCTGGGTTCAAGTGATTCTCCTGCCTCAGCCTCCTGAATAGCTGGGGCTACAGATGCACGCCATCACACCCAGCTAATTTTTGTATTTTTTAGTAGAGATGGGGTTTCACCATGTTGGCCAGGATGGTCTCAATCGCTTGACCTTGTGATCCACCTGCCTCGCCCTCCCAAAGTGCTGGGATTACAGGCGTGAGCCACCACGCCCGGCCTAATACTGCACACTTCCATTGCAACTACCATGTGCCATAGGGTATTTACAAATTTTTACTCATTTCACCATCCCAACAACACCCCAAGATAAAATACTATTACTATGACTCCTGCTTTAACATGTGAAAACTAAGACACAGAAAGGCTAAGTAATTTCCCCAAGGTCACACAGTGAGCTACTGGGAGAGTCAAGATTTAAACCAGCAAGTTTGGCTTAAAGTCACTACACTATAATTAAGCTACCTCAAATATGCAGCGATCTGGAAAGAGGTACACAGTCTTAGAAAGATGTTTTATCTCTGGGGAAAAAAGTAAGATTTATTATGCTTTGATTAGCAAATGTATTAAAAAGTCCTTTCCATGTCCTAGTCATCATTCAGAGAACTTCCGTGAAAGACAAGTTCTGGTCAGGCACGGTGGCTCACACCTGCAATCCCAGCACTTTGGGAGGCTGTGGTGGGCTGATGGCTTAAGGTCAGGAGTTCGAGACCAGCCTGGCCACTATGGTGAAACCCCATTTCTACTAAAAACATAAAACTTGCCAGGTGTGGTGGCACATGCCTGTAATCCCAGATACTCAGGAGGCTGAGGCTGAAGAATCACTTGAACCTAGGAGGCAGAGGTTAAAGTGAGCCAAAATCATGCCATTGCCCTCCAGCCTAGGCAACAGAGAAAGACTCTGTCTCAAAAACAAAAACAAAAACAAAAACTCTTCTTGGGAAAGAGGGGCCTGGGTGCAGTAGGCTGGGTTACTCACTACCCCAGTCCCAGGCAGGGTGGGGCCCTGCCCCTAGAATGCTGCAGCAGAGTGAGGAGAGGGCCCGAACTGACCGTAAAGCATGTAGGGACCACCTTCTCTGCCTGTTCTGTTGGGCCCAGGCTAGTAATTATTTGGCCCAGCCTGGGGCTCCCCCGTGGTTTCCAGTTTGCAGTTACTTTGAATTAAAATATAAATATTATTTTCTGGAAAATAATTTAAAAAGAAAGACGAGCCATAAGTCTTGATCTTCTATTTAGTTGATTATAAATATTTCCTTTCTGGCTGGGGGGATGGCTCACACCTGTAATCTCAGCACTTTGGGAGGCCGAGGCAGGCAGATCACTTGAGGTCAAGAGTTCGAGACCAGCCTGGTCAACATGGTGAAACCCGTCTCTTGTAAAAATACAAAAATTAGACAGGCGTGGTGGCTGACGCCTATAATCCCAGCTACTCGGGAGGCTGAGGCAGGAGAATCGCTTGAACTGGGGAGACAGAGGTTGCAGTGAGCCAAGACTGTGCCATTGCACTCTAGCCTGGGGGCAGAGTGAGTGAGACTCTATCTCAAAAAAAAAAAAAAAAATTCATTTCTTGGGCCATTTAGGGACGCAATGTAGTGAAACTATCACTCTCTCTCACCCTGTTCACAAAATATGTTAACTCTTTCAACTTTGACTCAATAATATTAAATATTTAGCAGGCAATTCAAAGCCCAGAATTGGGCACAATTGGAAAGCAAGGTGAATAAAACATAGTGCCTGCTTTCCATAATAACTATGATGACTGGTACTACCATTTCTCAACTTCTCCTTCTCTGATGAACTCATAACAACTCCCATCCTCAGTTGGCATTATTATGCACATTCAATAGATGGGGAAACCCAGATTCGAGAGACAAGGAATCTTGCCACCATCTCAAAGCTACAAACATGAATTCAGGGCTCAAACACGGGTCTCTCTGACTCCAAACCCCTTGCTCTTGATCCCCGGGCTACCGCTGCCCAAATGTCAGTATGACATCATGTAGCATCTGTAAGTGTGGGCAGAGGGTGGCAATGCAGCAGGGAGGCTTCACCTCGGTGTTACAAGGGACAATCCAGTCAGGCATTCCTTAGAGGGAGTGGTATTTGATCTAGGCCTGGAAGGTAAAGGCAGAATACAGACCCAGGAAGTAAAACCGAAACTTTTATCCCAGTAGTCCAGGGAAATATTTGAATCAGGTTACAGAAGGGAGATGGTGTGCAGTGCAGATGTTGGTATTGGGTATTTTCTACTTGCTCCTACACACAGTTACTGAGGGCATGTTGATGGTGGTAGAACAAAGACATCTTACAATCTCTTTCCTGATTGGTTGCAGTCTACTGAGTCCACATGAAGAGCCAATCAAAATCCTGATGGACTTTTGGAGAGGTGGATATCAGTGACTGCTTTAGTTCCACGTTAGGAGCCGGTAGTGGTAGCAGTGGTTGGCTTTCCTTTACATCCAGTCTCTGGTCCAAGTTCCCTACCTTCTGTTCAGATAGACTTTAAAGAATAGTGACTCCTGTACTAAAGGATTGGCATAAGCAATGGGGGAGGAGGAAGGAATATACTGGCTAGAGAAGAGCTCTGAGTGCTGAAACCTCCACTCCAAACAATGAGGGTCCTTCAGAAGGTCTTCAAGTAGCAGGTCCTCTAGATTTGACAACCCCAACCTCCAGGACTTCCTTACCCCACTTTGCTCCATACCTTTGGTACAGAATCTTTGGGTTGTCAATTTTCCGGCCAGAAAAAACCTCTATGGCTGCAGCATCTTTGCCCAAGTTCTGGCCCACATCCAGGAAGAATGAGGTACACAGACAAGTGAAGGGTGAACAAGATGGAGAAGAGCTTTATTTAGTGTTAGAACAGCTCAGAGGAGACCCTCAGTAGGTAACTCCATTCTGTAGGCAGGTTGTCTGTTCACTGCTCAGTTCTCAGTGCAGAGGAGGCCCTGGAGAGGGTGGCTCCTCTCTGCCAGCAGGTTGTCTCTACAGCTCTCAGTGGAAAAGGTAGCTCCTCTCTGCAGCTGGCCATCCCATTTTCTCCAGCTATCAGCAGAGAGTACTCCTCTCTGCAGCTGGTCATCCCATCACCTCTCAGCCCTCTTAGTCCTCTGGCCATCCTCTGCCCTGCTCTGGCTAAGCCCAGGGCTTTTATGGACCTCAGAGGGGAGGAAGTGGCTGCTGATCGATCCGTAGGCACCTGGAGGAAGCACCGCAAGTCCCCACTCCAGTTCGCTGGACTGGAAGCCCCACCACCAGCCTTCAGGCCCTCCCTGGCCTGAAGGTAGGGACTTACTGGGGACCTGCCCCCTTCCTCCCAGGACTCTGTCTGCCTCCCGCTGCCACTCAAGGCCCTAGGATTTTGCCTCCACCCTGCTCCAAGATCGGAGCAGTTGCCAGGAGCAGAGAGAGGCCAGGCAGTGGGAGCAGACACCCCCAAGCCTGCAGGGATGAGGTGGTAGAGGTCCTTCCTGGGACCCTCAGGGTGCAGGCTGCAGAGAAGCCCGGGTCCTGCACCTAGGAGGGTGGCTGCAGCCACACCCGGGAAGGCAGACCCTGTCTGCTCCCAGCCCTCATCCAAGAGCACAGGGAGGCTGAGATCCACAGCTGCAGTCTAGGTGGCTGGGTTTGGGCAGCTGCAGCAGTACCCAAGGAGCTCCTGTTCCAACTCAGAAGGTGGGGGGCATCCACCAGCTCCATGGAGTGTGTAGCCCAAGCAGTGCCTCCCTGTTGCAGCCAGCATGATGGCCGCAGCCACTGCCATCACCTTTATCCACACATTCCAGACCTTCCCAGAACTGTCTTATGTGGCATATGGGCATACAATGAAACTAAGGTCTGAAGGAGTAGACTTTTCCTGTCAAAGATCCCATCAGAGATTTCCAAATAGTCAACAGGAAGGAGATGATAGCAAGTAAAATGCAACCAGACCTGGGCAGTGTGGTAGTATGCTCCTATAGTCCTAGCTACTGAGG